ATCCATCCATCCATCCATCCATCCATCCATCCATCCATCCATCCATCTATCTATCTATCTATCTATCTATCTATCTATTCTATCTATCACAGCCTAAACAAGGATCCAGCAAGTACACTTCCACCAACCTTGACAGGCCAAGCCACGTATATATAAACAGAGAGCAAACCCCACTCCCTTCTGGCACTGATGACGTTACCTAGTTGGGTCATGACATGTCTGCAAAAAAAAAAACTAACTCCGCAGTTCATCCCTGAGTTATTCTCTTCTGTACAGGTCCGTTCCCTTACAACCCGAAAGCCCAGGGCATGCCTTTTCTACTTTGCTTCATAATAACCTGGAGAACTATGACCCCTTTACAACCTGTGGACTTCAGTTCCCAGAATTCCTTAGCCCAGGTCATGTAGGGCCTGTTGTTGCTCCCCCCACCCCCCAATATTGAAGGCTATTTAGAGGTAACGTTGAGCTGGAAGGACAATTTGTCTGTTGTGGAAGGAGGTTTTTATCCAATTCTATCTGTTTTTCCCCAAAACACAAGTGTGAAGTATAGACCAAGTGTCTCCCTGCGAGTTAGCATTTTGCACAGGTCCCTTTTCGAAAATGCCGAATGTTGAAGATTGGGCTCCCCGTTTCTCTCCATTTGTCTCGAAATATTCCACGCTCGGAGCAAGTGACTTTAAATAATGATAAACGCGTTATTCTCTTGCATAAATAATTGGACGTGATGACACAGATGCTGATTCCCCCCCCCCCCCCCCCTTCAAAGCTTAAATATTAATATTCTTGTGTCGTTTCCACAGAACTCCCCAGTGGAATGAACTGCAGCCGCCTTTTAACTTGAATCACCCTCTGCTCCTAGCCGCAGATTCTGTGCAGTGCTACCAGTATCTCCTCCTTGGCTGTGAGTATCATGGAGTATCACCAAATTTTGGGAGGCTTAATGGGTGATTGTTCTGTCGTCCTTATTGTTGTTTCTTTTTTTTTAAAGAAAAAGACAAATGGAATTTGCCCTGTAGCTTTCCCCCTTTTCATATGACACACAGACCCCAACTTATGACCACAGTCAGAATAATAGAACAGCAGAGTTGGAAGGGACCTTGGAGGTCTTCTAGTCCAACCCTCTGCTCAGTCAGGAACCCCTATACAATTTTAGACAAATAGTTGTCCAATCTCTTCTTAAAAACCTCCAGTGTTGGAGCACCCATAACTTTTGGTGGCAAGCTGTTCCACTGATTAATTGTTCTGACTGTTTAGAATAGAATAGAATAGAATAGAATAGAATAGAATAGAATAGAATAGAATAGAATAGAAACCTTGGAGGTCTTCTAGACCAACCTCCTGCTCAGGCAGGAACCCCTATACAATTTTAGACAAATGGTTTTCCAATCTCTTCTTTAAAAACTTCCAGTGTTGGAGCATTTACAACCTCTGGAGGCAAGTTGTTCCACTGATCAATTGTTCTTACTGTCAGAAAATTTCTCCTTAGTTCTAAGTTGCTTCTCCCCTTGATTAGTTTCCATCCATTGCTTCTTGTCTTGCCTTCTGGTGCTTTGGAGAATAACTTGACTCCCTCTTCTTTATAGAAGATATTGGAAGACTGCTATCGTGTCACCCCTCAGTCCTTCTTTTCATTAAATCGAGCCCAACTGTCTCGATGCTAAGCGAGACAGTTGTTAAGTGAGTTTTGCTCCATCTTTCCCCCATTGTTAAGTGAATCACTGTAGTTATTAAGATGGCAACCTGGTTATCAAGTGAATCTGGCTTCCCCTCTGAGTGGCTGGTCAGAAGGTCGCAAAAGCGGATCGCAGGATACTGCAACTGCTGTCAGTATGAGTTTTGTTGCCAAGCATTTTGATCAGGGGATCATGGGGATCATGAATCGTGATCCTGGGGATGATGCAACAGTCGTAAGTGTGAAAAGAGACCAGAAGGTCGCAAAAGGGGATCATAGGACCCTGGGATACTGCAACTATCCTAAATACAGATAGTCCTTGACTTACAGCAATTCATTTAGTGACTGTTCAAAGTTACAACGGTACTGAAAAGAGTGACTTATGACTGTTTCCAATACTAAAGGACTGTTGCAGCTTCCCCAGGGTCACCTGATCAGAATTCAGGTGCTTGCCAGCTGACTCATATTTATCATGGTTGCAGTGTCCGGGGTCATGCGGTCCCCTTTTCTAAGCAAAGTCAACAGGGAAGGCAGATTCACTGAGTTGTGGTTACTAACTTAACAACTCCACTGATTCACTTAACAACTGTGACAAGGAAGGTCCTAAAATGGGACCAAATGCACTTAAGCACTCTCTCCTTTAGCAACAGGAATTCGGGGCTCAAAGGGGATCATAAGTCCAAGGGTAAGAGGAACAAAGGCCTGGAGACTCAACCATATGAAGAACGGCTGCAGTTTTTGGGTTTGGCTAGTCTAAAGAAAAGAAGAATTAGGAGTGACATGGTAGCAGCCTTCCAGTATTTGAGGGGCTGCTGTAAAGAAGAGGGGGGTCAACTTATTCTCCAAAGCACCGGAAGGCAGGAGAAGAAACAAGGGATGGAAACTAATCAAGGAGAGAAGCAACCTGGAATTAAGGAGAAATCTCGTGACAGTTAGAACAATTAACCAGTGGAACATTGCTCCAACACTGGAGGTTTTAAGAAGAGACTGGATAGTCACTTGTCTAAGATGGTATAGGTTCTCCTGTTTGAGCAGGGGGCTGGACTAGCAGACCTCCAAGGTCCCTTCCATGTTCTGTTCTATTCTATTCTATTCTATTCTATTCTATTCTATTCTACCCTACCCTATCCTACCCTACTCTACTCTACTCTACTCTACCCTACCTTGCTCCCTGTATATACCCGATGCCAAGTGTCCAAATATTGATCATGGAACCACAGGGATGCTGCAACAGTTGTAATTGTGAAAAATGGTGATAAGTCGCTTTTTCAGGGTTGTTGTAACTTTCAACAGTCACTAAATGAAACATTGTACATCAAGAACGAGCTATATATTCTTTTCAGCATAGTTATTTTTCATCTCGTTAATTTTCTTAAATTGGATTGTAGGCATCCTCCTTCATTAGCTTCCATTTTGGAGTGCTATCGTTGATATTTTTTTTGTCTCCCCCCCACCTTTTTTTTTTTTTACAATTCAGCATAATTACCTTCTGTGACTCTCTGGCTCCATTTCTTATTTACTCCACACGGTGTTGTTTCTTTTTTCGAGCATCCTGTTTTCGTTAATATTGTTTTAATTCTGTTCCGGAAGGGATTATCCTTGAAGAGCCCCATCCAGCATCCTTTTAGATTTATACACGTTTTTTTGTGGCCCTGCCGTTTGTTTGGTTTAAATCCCCAAACGAAGGGCAGGCCAGACGGCGAACGCATTTGGAGACTGTCATTAAAGCTACGAAAAAACAATGACGTGTGGTCAAATTGACACTCTTGGGAGAATCCGAAAGTGGACAGAGTCCTAATCCCCCTTAAGGTAAACAAGAAACAGTCTCATAAACAACATTTTTAAAACCTGCAGACATCGTTCTTTCTCCTCGAGAGCCACTACTACATCAGTGGGCAATGCCAGCAGCAATTACACCTCCTGGTTTTCTGTCTGCGCTTCAAGACCCGTTTACGCCACGGCCATGGGTCTCAATTTTTCATCTCTGCTTCTGTTGCGGCCCGTTGACAGCCAATGCGGACGGCAGTGGAACCGGACAGTGGGGAAAAATGGGGACCAGTCCAGGAGTCGGGAGGACTCGGCGAGGGTCCTGTGTCTGATGCAGAGATGGGGCCAGGACCATCTGGGAGTGGGGTGCTGACTCCGGAGCCTTTAGAGTCTGGCAGCAGTGAGGAAGAGGAACAAGGGGAGCCTGTTCCCAGTGCGTGTGTGTGCAGAGCTGCTAGAAGGCAAGAGCAGTTGAGACAAAAGGGGCGACTTGGGAATAAGGCTGAGAGGTGATTGCCCCTCCCATAAGGTATAAAGGAAGTGCAAAGGTAGGGAAACCTTTGCAGGAAGCAAAGTCATTCACTCTGTTCGTATTAAACCTTGAAGCTCTGTGTGGACTTCGTACTTTGGTTGGTTTTTTACAATTAATTTGGCACTTTAGTTGTTGGCAGCAATTCAAGGAGATAAAGGTGGGTGCTTATCTCGAGGGACTGCTTGGGACTCATAGGCTGGGAATGCACATAATTCCCAGCGTTGAAATAAAACAAGAGTTGTTTGGACTAAGCTTGTGCGTAATTATGGTCTAGGAAGCCTTGGTCAGAACAGCTTCCTATCCAGACTTGGCAGGAGAAACATTGTCGGCACATCCCTCCTTTTCCTAAGATTGGGGATAGATGGCCATGGATTCAGGTAGAAAGCGAGACAATTCCAGGAATCAGGAATTATCTTTTTATACAAAGTACAGGTAGTCCTCTCACTGTATGACCACAAATGAGCCTCAAATCTCTGTTGTTAAGCGAGACATTGGTTAGGTGAGGTTTGCCTCATTTTACGACTTTTCTTGTCCCTGTCAACTCATAAAACATTTTTTATGGCTGTTTTATTAGTTGCCAACAGAAAGGGAGGGGGGGAAACGGGTTTGAAACAGCAGTGCGGCAGCTTGGAAACCAAAAGTGCATTCCATGCATAGTTTTTCAGAGATTGTAACTAGGTGACTGAAGAATCTGCCGAGCAAAAATCTAACTGGAGAGCATGATTGATGACTCTGGGCTATGGATGTGTCCCATTGGAGAATATGAATTATGATACACCCAGGGGGGTGAGGGGCAATTCAGGGTCAAGGGTGACAGTGAATTATGCGTCTCAGAGTCGGCTACACCCAGGCAGTGCCAGACATGTTAACTCCCAATAAATCCTGCTTAGTTTTGGAAATTTGGCTCGAGACTCATGATTTAATTGGGGGTAACTGCCGGAATCCTGACACTTAATTTCTGATAGAAGAGAATATTTGCAGCTCAAGGCTGAACTGTGGGGTCCTTGGTGCTCTCTGAGCTTGATTGTTTTCTTGCGGACATTTCATTACCAAACTAGGTAACATCATCAGTGCAAATTAACAAATTAACTCTGTTAATTAAATCTATTCCATTCCATTCTATTCTATTCCATTCCATTCCATTCCATTCCATTCCATTCCATTCCATTCCATTCCATTCCATTCTATTCTATTCTATTCTATTCTATTCTATTCTATTCTATTCCATTCCATTCCATTCCATTCCATTCCATTCTATTCTATTCTGTTCTCATTCCATTATTCTATTCTATTCTATTCTATTCTATTCTATTCTATTCTATTCTATTCTATTCTATTCTATTCTATTCTATTCTGTTATCACTGTCCCTTTTCTCTTTGCCGTGAGCCTCCTCTCCTCCTCAGTGGGCTACGTTCATTTTCAACCCCGCTCTTGCCCTTCCGGTGACTCCTCCATCTTTTGCCTGGGTCTGTGCATTTTTCTTGTCCCTGGAGGATCGCTGGCTCAAGATGTGCCGATTTTCATCTGGCGCTCTCCGAGGCTTAATTTGTGCGTGAAAACTGGGGGTGGAAAAAAAGAGGAGACTCTTAATTTAATATCTCCAGATCGCAGGCAGCAAAGTGGAAACACGTAATCCAATCGGCTCCACCGATGTCAAACGTGCTGTAGCCTGTTTTCTTCCACAGGGGAGGCATCTTTGGTGCTATCTGCGTGTGTGTGTGTGTGTGTGTGTGTGTGTGTGTGTGTGTGTGTGTGTG